TGTATTCTTCTCATCCCGGACAGACCCTGGTTGGCAGGGCCGAAGCCCGCCTCCTTTACTTCTAAGCCGTGTCCGTCCACTTCAGGATGTAGCCCTCCAATGACTCCATTTTGCATCAGCTTTTTCCTTGTCATTGTTGTACCCGTCCACCTCCTTTTTTTTTGGGGGGGGGTGTAAGTGTGTTTTGCGCGGCGTTAACAACTGCTTAAGGTCATATGAGCGCACGGAAGTCAAAAAAACATTTTCAGTTTGGTAGAAATAACGTGCGCAATTTGCACATGGGACTACCAAGATTTTTGCCCTTATCCGAGAAGGGTCCGTATTAGATCTTGCCTACCATAAAATCAGGGGTGTGAATGGAAGACAGCAGTCAAAAGGAGCCAAGGAGTAGCAGCAGAAATGCTGCGGAAAGAGTCAGGAGCCCAGATGAGAGGGCAAAGGAGAGAAAGAGGAGGGGGGTAGAAAGTGGAGACGAAAGCAGTCGGCATAACATGCTTGAAAAGCAGGAAAGGAGGTGAAAGGAGAAAATTTCAGAGAAGAAAACTTTCCGCCACTGTCAGGTTTCGAACCCTGGACCTATTGCATGAGAGACGAGCACCGTAATCTCTAGATCACGAGACCCCCCCCCCCCCCCCCCCTCCCTCCCTGTCCGCTCTCTGGTGTCATCTTGCCAAATTTCTTGCTGATCTTCCTCTTATTCTTTTTCTGTTCTTAGTCTTTATTCAGCAGATATTTTGTCCATCTGTTATCTTTCACACTACCGATATGCCCAGCCCATTTCCATTTTTGTCGGAGTATTGATTTGGAGATATCTCCCACTCCTGTTTTCTGTCGTATATGTGTGTGCTTTATTTGATTTTGTATTCTTATATCCAGCCTCTTCCTTTACATTGCCCTCTGCGTTCTACTTATTATTAATTTTTGTTCAAAATATTTCTGACAAAATGCCAGGTTTGACACCCATTGCTCACTACTGGAACAAGGCACTGGTTGAAAAGTGTTTGTTTAATGATGTAATCGGTAGATTTTTATCTGTAAATATTTTTTTTAACTTTCAAAATAACTCCAAGCCGAATGTATCTACTACTGCTCACATCAGTTTTGTTTTGTTTTGTTTGGTGTTGGGTTGTTGTTTGTTGGGGGGGGGGGGGGATTTCTTCTCCTTTCTTATTGTTTGGCTGATGTATATTTTCTGTCACTTTTCAATACTCTTGTTTTCTACAGCAACCGGTTTGTCGCTGTTGTACTTCATTCTGTCCATGTATTATAGTTTTATCTTTGTGGATTCTCATCATCATCCGGTGCCTTGCCGACTGGCGTGGGCGATCATGGACCTCCACTTCCATCTGTCTTTCGAAGCAGCAATGGTGTCTGTTGTTCTTGCTGCTCCCAGCCATGTTGTCATCTTGTCCAGTATCTTTTCCCTCTGTCTGCCTCTACCTCTCTTTCCATCAAACTTTCCTGTTGTTACAATGTTCTCTAATGCTTCTTTCCGCATTGTGTGTCCGAAAAAATTTGCCTGTTTTTCTTATATTCGTGATAAGTTGTTTTCTATAATTTGTGGATTCTAATGCCTACTTTTTCCGCTCTCAATATTTATGACGTTGATAATGTCGTAATTAATTTCCATTCGTAGGTCATTTTCAGCGCAAAGTGCTCACTTCCTATATTATGATCTAAATTTTGTTGATGGGGGCGTAAAAAAAACACTTATATTAATTTTTTTTAACGGTTGTCCCCAGGCTATGCCCACCCGCTTCAACAAAGGCGTTCTGTTCAATGCAGGCTTCCTGGAAGCTCTCAAACTGGGCGATTTCGACTGTTTTATCCTGCACGATGTGGACATGATTCCACTCAATGACGCAAACACGTATCAGTGCAGGTCGGACGGACCAGTCCATTTTATGGCAGGGGTGAACAAGTTCCATTATGGGTCAGCTTCTTCGTTAATCGTTGCTATAATTTATAATATACCATGCGGGGTGAAGTGGAGAGGAAGGGTGGCTTGTGGGGGGGGGGGGGTTGTCAACTGTTACTGTATACAGCCATCATCATTATTGCCTTTCTCACCCTGCACCAGGGTATAGGCCACGGAGAAACACTTTCCAACTTTATCTATCCTGGGCTAGCCTCTTGATGTTATTTCTTGTCTTCCCACTTTTCTGTACATCAATTTCTGTGATTCTTCTCCCTGTTCCACGCGGTCTTCCCCTTGATCTTTTACCCTGTAGATTCCAATCCAACACTTTCTTTGCTATGCAGCTGCCTGACTTTCTGAGAGTATGTCCAATCCATCGCCACCGCCTTCTTCCTACCTCATCTCTGACTGGAATATGTCTTGTTTTCCCTAGCACTGTATACAGTAGGTGTTGGGTTTTGTCTTTTCGTCTTAACTTCATGGCTACAACTCAACGAGTGCGCCACATTGTTGCGCGCATAAGACTCAAATTGAATCACCAGTAGGAATAATATTTATCGAGTATCTCAGTCTTTCTACTGGGTCACAGTGTGCTTCCTAAGTGACACACATGTAAATTGTGTCGATGGAGGGGTGTGAAACGCCTACTTGATACGACGTGGCACCTTCACGAGTCCGAAGAAATAGCAGCGTCCAGACAACAACCAGCTCAATAGATTAGAACCGGCACAGACTCGAATTATAATATCCTAAAACGTGCATGCACTGTCATGGCCATGGCCACTGCTCTTTGCTTTCTGTATTAACTTCTGCTGCGAAGCGTGTGCACCATGGCCGCCCAAATGAAGGGCAAAGCACAGCACCAGTGTCGCTATAGTTCTTCTTCTTCTTCTTCTTCTTCTTCTTCTTCTTCTTCTT